AAGAAGCTTTGATTCATCCTTGGTTTTTGGAATAAAATCTAAGTAATCTTAAAGGGTTTAAGTTAAAAAATAAGAAGAATTCAATTGCAAATTAAAATGTTATGTTAACTCCACCAATATGTAAAAGTAGTCCTTTTTCCACTCCAAGATCACCTTAAAGTCCAATAACCAATCCTTCCTAATAATCTTCCTTTCTAACGAAAATTGCAGGAAAAAAGCTCAGTAATTTTTAACTTGAAGATGATTCAACTCTAACTCCAAGAGAAAATTAGAAAAATAATACTCAATGCAATTTTTTGAAAAAAATTGTAGTAAGAAAATCTATTTTCAATCATTTAGAACCTCTTAAGAGATAAAGAAACCTAGAATGATTCTTAATGAGTATTATTATCTTTATAAAAAATTAAATGTTAAAATAATAGTATTAATAAAAACTAAAAGCTTAAAAAATATATTAAATTAAATTTACATAATTTTGAATATATTTTAATATTTAAACAGAAAAAAGACTTTTTACACCATACATATATATAAAGCTATTATTTATTGTCTCAAATAAGTTTTAATTTATAAATATTGGATATCTTAATTGTATTGTATGAATAATAAATCTTTTATTACAATAAACCCAAAGTCTCAATATTCAGAATTATTTATATGATTAATTATTTTAATATAAGACATTTAATAATTATATATTGTTTAATCTTAAAGAATATTATGTGAATGTAGTTATTAAATTGAGTTATGTGTAATATAAAATAATAATATTAAATGTTTCATCTTTTAACTGCTGTAGTTGTGACTTAAGTCAGAGGTTTTTAGTAATAACTTGATGATGGCCTTTGTTAAGGTTATTACTGTTAATTTTAAACAGCAGATTTGTTGACCTTATTAGTTTAGGCAGCCATCTATTATTAAATAAAAGGATAGTAGTATCCTTATTTAGTTTGCATAGATTAAATCATAGAACTACTCTTATGATGAGTAGGTTGTTGAGTAGTAATGGCTTATTGTTATGCCTATGATTATTTTGGCATTTCAACTGAGGATTGTCTACCTCCCATTTAACCAGATTGTGGTCTCTATGCTTTCCGTTATTGTTGCAACAACAATTATTACTAATAAATTTGTTATTGAATGAGATCTGGCTGTGAAAGTTTTTGCTCTAATAGAGTGTCTTCTTTTTAAGGAACCTATTAAATTTGATTTTGTTTCTCATCAATTGTTACTCCCAATTATGATAAATATTTTGCTTACCATTTTTTTCGTTGTTCCTTTTTTCTTTAACTAATATCTGCATACAAAGCTTCTCTATATTCTTTAATTGTAAATTTCTTATTATCATTCATTGTAATTTTTATGGGATGTTAACATACAATTTCTTCTTCTGGAGAAGAAAAATCCCTTACATATTTATGTTTCAATGCTTATTCTGCTGTCAATCGTTAATTTGGATTATAACATAATAATCTTCTAATTAAATCTAATGCTTCATCTGAAGCACCTTAGAAAAAAGAATTGAATTGTTTTTTCTTAGATGTATTTATAGAGGCCAAAATGTTAGAAGCTAAGGGACTATCAAGAGATTATATTTCATCTCCTGAAGGTTTTCCTAAAAGTTCTATAATTCTCTCAATCTGATTAAGTGTTGAAGTCCCTGGAAAAATTGCTTTCCCAACAATTAATTCACCTATAATACATCCTACTGACCACATATCAACTGCCTTTGAGTATTTAGTAGATCCTAACAGAATTTCAGGTGCTCTATACCATCTTGTTGCTACATATTCAGTTAACACTAATTAACCTACAAATATATTAAAATTAATTTAGTACTATCATCTTCTGTTTAAGCTAAGCTTCTTGCTAATCCAAAATCAGCTACTTTTATTAAACATTCAGAATCCAATAAAATATTTGATGGTTTCAAATCTCTGTGAATTAATTCTCCTGAATGTATGAATTTTAATGCCTTAAGTGTTTAGTAAACTATATATTTCTTGTGAATCTCTTCTAATATATTTGCTCTCTTTTATTTATTATTATTAAATAATTACAATCACTGCATGAAGGTCAGTTTCCATATAATCAAATACCAGGTAAAGATCCTTATTATTCTCTGCTTTTATAATGTTAAGTAATCTCACTATATTTTCATGACCATTCAATTCCTACAAAAACATCACTTCTCTAAATGTTCTTTAAGCATCTGTTGCATTATGAAAAGCATCAAATACTTTTTTTAGCGCAACGACCTTTCATAATTATAGAATAATACCTATTTCAATTTTTTATCTACTGCTTTCCACACTATGCCATAAGCACCTTTTCCTAATTTTTATATAATCTCGAATTTCCTTGCTATATGAGGTTCTATTTCTTCACTCATTTCGTTATAAAAATTTTATTAACAATACAAATATAATTTATTAAAAAAATCTTTACCTAAATTTACACATATAAAATATTTATTTAAAAAAAAGAATCTAAATTAGTATTAAAATAAAATATACTACTTTTTAATTTATTATATCTATTATATCTTTGGATTTACATCAATAATTTTATATTTAATTATAATTAATAATAACAGAATATATGAATTGATGAATTCACTTCTTAAATATATTAATTATACTAATAAACTTTTTGTTATTTATAATATCTTAATATATTTAGTCAATATCTAAATAACAATTAAATAATCCTTATTTTGTCTATATATTGAATGATTTATTCAAATAAAATGTATACAATCACCATTATTTCTTAAATTATTCTAATAATTATTTTGATAAGACAATATATTATGACATGTAATTTTGTAAATGTTTTTGATTTATAATAATAGTATTTTTGATTGAATTATTATTAGCATTTAACCTATTTTTGATAGAATTCATTACTTTCACTGTTAGAACTTTAGATTTTTAATTTATTTTAGTACACTTAAATAATTGGAATCTTTCAATAGTATTATTAATGTCTCTTCATAATAAATTTCTGTTTATTTTTCAATCCCAACTTTGAATTATACTTGAATTCCTTTTCAAATCACTAATTATATTCTGTTAATGTATAAATCCTTATTATAAATTCAGAATCTCAATTCAACTATCATAATTTTTTAACACTTTAATTATAATATTATATAAAAAAATGGAAACAATTTATAAAGTTCATATTGATAATCTTGAATAAGATATCTAAGTCTAGATTAATGATAATGAGAGTTTGGAAAAATTAATTGTAACAATAAGAGAAATATTAAAACTACCTTTTCAAGAGATAGAAGTGTTTTATTAAAATAATAAATTAGATGTAAAACTTAAAATGAATGATCTTAAACTAAACAATTCATCAGAAATAAATGTCAAGCTATATTTTTTTATTAAAATAAAAGTTTCAATTGAAATGCTTGAATCATATGAGATTTCAAGAATTAACATCTATGACAAATTAGCATGTTTAAATAAACAAATTTACAAGGATTTTGCAATTCCAAATTATGATTTAGTTCTCTATCATAATTAATAACTCTTGGAACCATATTAATCACTCTATAAATATAAAATTGAAAAGGATTGTGAATTGAGTTGTATAGTGAAACCATCATTTTAAGTAGAATATCAATCAGAAATCTACAGCTTTGTAACATAATTAAATGAAGATTTTAAGAATATAAATAAAATGATTAAATAGACTCTAAACTTAGAATTAGATTTTGAACTTATTTATAATGAATTAGTAATAAATAATGAAGGTGATATTTATTATAATTATTCTATTCCTTAAAATTAAAAGTTAGAATTGAAATTATTAGATAGTGTCATTCTTATAGTATCGTCTTTTGAAACCTAAAGTTTTAAAGTGAATAAAAGTATATAACTTAAAGAATTAATAACATATCTAAAATAATTATATTAAATTACTGAAGAAGTATAAGTAATTAAGGATAATTAGAAGTTGTTGGCTGAATAAACAATATAGTAACTTAAACTTAAAGATTATGAAATAATTTAATTAGAATAAATATAAAGATCTGATTTATATCTTATAAATAAAGATAATCCAAAATAGTAATTTAAAAAAAAGATTAGTGGTCCTATTAAACTTGATTTTTTACAAAATTTATCTTAATTTAAGGAGAAAGTCATTCATTTTTATGACAATTCTCAAAAATAATTAACAAATTAGGATGAAATTAATTATGAATCTAAAATAACTATATATTATAAAGAAATCTCTTAAAGTTAAATTTTTTCTTGGATATAAATAGGATTTGTGAATAAATAAACATAAGTAAAAACTATAAAAAAGGTTGCCCAAAATGAAGCAATAAATAAATACATAAAGGATTTAGTTGGAGAATAAAAAACGAATTTATGGTTAGGAGATCAAGAGATTACAAAAGAACATACATTTTCAGGTATTGGAGCATAGAATAATGATTGCATAGTTTATGATATAATTAAGAAAAGTGTTTTGGTTGTTTATAGAGATTAAAATCATATTATTGAAGTTTAAGATAATTGGACATTTGAAAATTTAAAATAAAATCTTATACTTAAATTTAAAGAATCTACATAAAAATTTAATTTAATACATCGTAATGTATAACCTGAATTAAATAAAAATATTCTATCAATTTACAATGATGGAGATATAATTTATTTTACAGATTAAAAAGCAAGCACTATAATTAATTAAAGTAGAATAGCTGATAATAATTTAATACCAATAACATTATATATTGTAGATAGATAAGATGAAATAACAATAAATGTATAACTAAAAATGAATGTTTAAAATATTATTCAAAAATTCAAAAATTTGTTTTAGAATTATGTTTCTGCAAAATTAATATTAAAAATGGATTAAATTGTATTACCAGAAAATTATGAAATAAATTCTACTCATAGAAATAAAAAGTTTAGTATAGAATAATTATAAATATGAATTAATAAAAACAATTATATAAATGTATTATAATAATAATGAATTTAAAAATATATTGTAAGTAATTTCAGAAGCTATTCTTAATTGATAGTACTCCTAATATGAATATGAAATAAGTAATTGATTAAATTACTTAATTTTTTGGATGTAATGTTTCAACTTTGACAACTGCTTCAATCAATGATAAAATCTTAAGTAGTGATTTAACATTAGAAGAATTAAAAATAGGATAAGATTGTTAAATTACATTATTTCTTTAATATTGTGAGCATATTAAATTTTAATTGAAACATAATAAAAAATACATCTAAACACTTGAAATAAATATTTATAACAGTATATAAGAAGTAGAATAATTATTGGCTAATTACTTTAAAATTGAATATGATGTGAAAATTATCGTTAATGATTAAAAAATATCTAAGACATTGCCATTCTCTTAACTAGATTTAATTAAAACACATGAATATGAGATCAATGTTTATTTATAAATTGAAATGAATAAAAATTAATAAAAATTGTTGGATTTTTCTGTATTTGATAAAATTTCAGATATAAAATAGAAAATAATTGAATAAATGTAAATTAAAGGAGAATTCTAGATTTTTTATAATTTTGGAATCTAATTAGATACAATAGAAAATATGGAAGAAACAATATATTCCTTATAAATTCCAAATTATTAAACCTTAAAAATACAAAGTTTATAATAAATAAATTTAAAATATAATGTAAATAATTTTAGCGAATAATATAAAATTAAAATTAATCAAAAATTAATAGATTTTATAAATCAATTAAGGAAAAAACATAAATATTCTACTAATTACATAAATAATATAAAGTGTAATGAATAGTTATAGACTTTAAATACAATTTCATTGAAAGAGATTAAATAATATTAAATAGATATTGAAGAAAATAAAGATGAAACTATTAATATAACAATTATTAATTATTTTGATTTAGCTAATAGAGAACTAAAGATTTATAATATAAATTAAAATTTGGATGAATTAAAAAATGAAATTAAATAAAAAAATAATAATTGTCAAAATGTGGAATTTATAATTGATGAAAGATTTTTAGAAACTGATTCCAAAACATTCTAATAGGTAGGTTTTGTTGCAAATACACATTATTGTTTATAATATAAATGTATAAATTATGATAATTAACACCAAAAATTTAGCCAAAATATTACTCAATTGGATAAACATTCATAAACTTTTATATGTAATAATCAACAAAATCTTATAGGAAATAACTAATAATAAATTATAGCATTATCGGATTCTAAAATTCAATCTGAATCTGATTAAATAGAAGGATCAAATCATTTTGAAAGATCTTCTGGATTATATAATAACTAATTTAGTAAAAATAAATATCATAATTCGAGTAATATTACCGAAAAATCATTATTAAATCATATGTCACTTTATTAAGAAGAATTAAGAACAGAAGATTAAAATATTATCACTATAACAATTATTATGAAATTAAATGATTAAATTTTTGAATAAAATTAACAAATAAAAGAAAATCAATATAGTATCTTATCATAAACATAAAGTTATAAAGACCTTTTAGCAAAAGGAAAAACTAATATTACTTTAAAATTTGAAGGTAAAATTATTGATGTAGATAAGAGTTTTAAAGATCTTGGAATATCTAATAATAGTACGATAGAAGTGATAATTTAATCTGATGATATACTTTTATCATAAATTAATTAATAAAATCAAAATGATGAAGAAAGCTCTCAAATTAATGAAAAAGTTAAGATCTAATTTTAATTCTAAAAAGATGGAATATAAAGAAATGAATTTAAAATATATAATAAAGAAACAATTAAATTCTCATTAATTAGAAAATAATTATTAATGCAATATTAATTACCAGAAAATATGGAAATTATGTATAAAGACAAAAAAGTTGACTTAAATTAAAATATTTCAAGTATACTTTAAGAAGGTGAATTTCTTTTTATTTTGAAAGGATAAGAAAATTTGATTAATAAAAAACTTGTAAATTTAAATCTGATTCTCATAGATGGACCTACAGAAAATTAATCGATTTAAGTTGATTAATACATTGAAATCTCAAACTTATATAATTTAGGTATTTTAATATTTAAATTATTAAGTTGAATAGAAGTTAAATTAAACTAATTTAAAGTTATATTATGAAGGCACTGAAATATCAAATTAAAAAGAAACCTATATAACACTGAAAGATGATGGAGAAAATGAAATAGAAGTGGTAGTTTGATATTAACTTTCAATTGATATTGCTATGATTTTAAATAATTTCAATAAATAATTTATCATATATAAGAATTCCATTTAAAAACTAAAGTATTTAATTATGTAATTTAAATGTAGTGAAGATTTGATAAGAAATTTAATATATATATATCTATATAATTTATTATATAAAAAGAAATCTTAAAATAATGATAAAATATACTCAGAATTTTGATAAAATTAATTTTTAAGAAGAGTTAAATAAGAGATAAAAATATTTGGATTGCTTTATATAATCTTGTCATTCATTGAATAAATCAATAGGCTGCATGCATTGAGCTTTACATATTGCTAAATTAAGTAATTTCTGATTTATCAACTTTTAGCAAGTTTTATATTTTTTTTTCAAAAACACTAACAATCATAATGGAAGCTAAAAATATTCCAATATCTCTAAATTGTTTAATTCTCTTTTCTCTTTCAGCTTTATTGGTTGGATATATTGATTTTTTAAGTTTCTCCCAAGATGTTCCTTGTTGAATTCCTTTTTGTTTTCCAAATTACATTTAATATTTTTATTTATGGTGTATTATTTTGAAATAAATATAATGATATGAAATAAGTAGAATAATTATTATAATATTTTAATTATAGAATTCACATAAATGGTTTAGAATAACTTCCAGTTCCTAAATTGAGTAATGTTCTTAATCTATCATTTTCATCTTTCAATCTCTTATTTTCTTACAAAACATTATAATTAGAATTGGCTAGAGTGTATAATAGATTTGATTACATAATTCAATTCTATTTGATGATTATGGTCTTTAAGGTATTTATTATTATTATTATTATTGTTATTATTATAATTATTGTATTTATTTCTAAAGTGTATCAATTTAAATTTTAAGTTATTAATTTTCTTTTTCTAAATCTGCAGCAGTTTATAATACATATTCTAATTCATCAAAACCTTTTCTAATAAAATAATATTTTAATATATACTTTAAAGTATCTAATTCTTATTTCAATTTTTAATTTTCTTTTTATAATTATTCAGATAATTTTTTATGATCTTCAAAAGAATATTTTGATAATTTAATTTAATCTAATTCATTTCTTAATGATCTATTTTCTTATTCTAATTGATTTCTATCTGCAATAAATCTAGCTGTAAGTTCTCTTATTTCTCTATCTACTTGAATTCTTCTTTAAAGTTCATTTTGATATCTTTAATCCTCATTTTCTTTATCTCTATTTTAATATTTAACTCTCCATTATTCACATTCCATTTATAATTAAGCTAATTTCTTTTCATATTCACCTATTTTTATTCTTTATGATATAACTTCATTTTCAACTAAATCTACTCCTTTATATCTTATTTCACTAGTATTTAGTAATTACTATATTTGAGAATTTTCTTCTCTCAATCTATCATTTTCAACAGTAAGTAGAAATACAACCATATAAATATCTTCTCCTAACCATGGTTTATTTGGTGATTAACCACCTTGCATTTCTTAAAAATTTGGTCTTTATTCAATAATCTTTGCTTGAATTTATTATAATTAGAATTTCATTCTTTATTCTTATTAAATTTATGCAATTGATTATGGAATATCTCTATTAGGTTATACAGGTAATCTATACTCCATAATAAATAAATTTATTTTTGTTTGTTAATATGAATAATAATATAAATATATATATATTAAATAATATATTCATTTAGCCCTTAAATTGTTGTTACTTGTCAATGTTTTCATTTCCCATTCAATATAATCTCTTTCTAAGAAACTTTCTTCTTTTATAGGTTCTGGTTTTTTGTCTTTAAGTTGTTCAATAATTAGACTTTACATTTTGATAATCTTATCTTGTTTCTCTTTTTCCAGTTAATCTAAAATTTATTCATTTGTAATTATATTTTAATGTGAATCATCTTCATCATTATACTATTTAATATTATCAGAATAAAGTAACAATAATTTTAAAGGGTTTGTCTCTTCAATCTTAGTAATTGTATTTTCTTGAATAGTTTCTGATTACTACTGTTGCTCTACTTATTGAATTTATATATATTTAGCTAATCTGCTATGATGAGTAGATTAATCTGATTAATTTAGTTGTTATTCTTAAGATTATTATAGGTTATTGAAATCATTTTAAGGTGTTATCTCTTAAGAGAGTTAATCATTATCTAATTTGTCTAGCCAATATTACACTGAATGTATGAATTCTTGTTTGTTGGGATATTGTAAGGGATCTTCAGAATGGTTCTATTGCATTTCGTTCACTTTTAACAATTATTCAACTTATGCATTAATCTAATCTACAAATGGAGTTTACGAATTTAGATCTAATTAATCAACTACGTCCTATTTAATCTCATTTATTACTATTTTATCTACTAAATCAATTCTCGGAGAATCTTATATATTATTCTAATTGGTTTAGAATGCACTTAGAGTAACTGATATAATTATTACAATCAATATTCTCATTAAAAACGTAAATTAATAATGGATAATCCATTGGGCAACCGAAACTTATCAAATACTTACTTATAACAATAAAATTACAAACTAATATAGCGTTTAGGAATGGGTGCTTTTGGAGAGATTTATCTTGCTTAAAATAAACAGAAAGAAGAATTTGCTATCAAATTAGAAAGAACTAATTGTTAATATCCACAAATTCTATATGAATCCAAAGTTTATGCATTCCTTCATTAAGATACATAACAATTAGATAAAGGTATTTATTAAATATTATTTTTTAAGGTATTCCAAAAGTATTTGGAGCAGCAACTGAAGGAGATTATAATTATTTAGTTATGGAGCTATTAGGATAATCAATAGAAGATTTGTTTGCTTAATGTCATCGTAAATTATCTATTAAAACAGTAATATCAATATTAATTAAGGTATGTATGCTTGCAGAACAAATGGTTTCAAGACTTGAATTCATGCATTCAAGATCCTTCATACATCGTGATGTTAAACCTGATAATTTCCTAATGGGATATGGCAAAAAATAATCTAAACTATATGTAGTAGATATGGGTTTAGCTAAAAGATATTTAACAAAAGATGGTCACATTCCATTTAAAGAAAATAAACCACTTACAGGAACTGCTCGTTATGCAAGTATTAATACTCATTTGGGATATGAATAAAGTAGAAGAGATGATCTAGAAGGCTTGGCTTATGTTCTTGTTTATTTAGCCAAAGGTACTCTACCCTGGATGAATCTTGCATGCAATAATAAAAATGATAAATATGTATTAATAAAAGAAAAGAAAATTAAAACTACTACTGAACAACTCTGCTAAGGTTTACCTGATGAAATGACTTTGTACTTAAATTATGTTAAGAAATTAAAGTTCGAAGAAAAACCAGATTATAATTATTTGAGAAATCTCTTCAAATAAGTATTACATAAATAAAATCTTTAATTGGATTATATATATGATTGGACAAAACCAGAAAAAAAGAAATAAGATAATGATTAAGTAGATGCCATTCGAAAAATTAAAGATGAAATTGCTAATAAAGATTTAGATCCTAAATTAAAATAAATCCCTTAATAACCTATTAAAGCTTAATCTATTATTGCACCTAAAAATTAACAAATTAATTCTCCAAAAGTCAATCAAAAAGTATAACAATAATAAATTCGACCTCAATCTGCTCAAAAACCTGTAGTAGTTCCTAAAAGACCTTAAATGCAAACACAACAAGCCAAAAAACCACCTGTTGAACCAAGAGTAGCAGCACCAAGAATTGTAATTAATAAAGAACCTTACACTAAATATTGATTTCTTATTTTGAAGGTTTTATTTAAATCTAATGACTTTCATAATTTACTTCGTTTTATTTATAATTTACTATCATACTATCAATTATTTATAATCCTCTCTATCACCTAAACTAATTATAATATTTATATCAAATTCTTAAATTTATTTTGAAGATAAATTATAATTACTATTATATAAATAATAAGTAATAATTCAAATTACTATTTATTAAATAATAACTATATGGATTTTAAACTTATATTTTCTTTAAAACTTCTTTTTTATTTTATATTTGTTTTCACAATTTATTATTTGATTCATTATTATTTAAGATAAGATTTAGAATATTAATAAGTAAAAATAACTTAGAGTATTCTTAATTTTTTAGTATTTTATAACTGTAGTTAGCTTACTTTAATGAAAATATTTAAAATTAAAATGAAAATGTTAGACATAATAATTATTTATTATGTTTAAGTGAATATAATATGATTATATTGATATATATATCAATATAATATATATTATCATCTTGAAACAATTTGATTAACCTTATATTAATGTTTTATGAATTTGAATATTATATTAATATAAAAAGGGTATAAAATTTATAAATAAAATAGAAAAATTAACAAAAATAAATGAAAAATAAACGATCAATCATTACAGAACAATAACCTGATCATGAACAAATTCGTAAATAGAATGAAATAAATTTACAACCAGCAGTATAAGTATATAGAATGTATACTTAATTACATACAGTAGCTTAAGCAGAATAAGTGGCTGATACTTTGTCATCTATAGATTTCATACAGAAATAATGTGAAAAGAGTATGAAGGTTAGAGATTTTGCTATGTATGCTGCATAATTTTTCAAATATGAACATTACAGTTTTGGCCAAACAATAATGAATTAAGGAGATTATGGAGATAGATTTTACTTATTATTAAATGGTGAAGTAGGTGTATATATGAAGAGATCAAATGAGGATATTTAAAAGGATTTAGAGTTTATAAGTTAGCAGACTAGTGAAACTAATATTGTAGTAAATAATATATAAAAGAAAAAGAAAACAGTTGTTTTGAATTAATTAAACAAATTTGATTTAGCTTTAAGAATGTTAATAGATAATAATATGTATTATAATAATGGAATACCTTTGTTTAAGAAAGTATGGTAATATTATTCAGGTCAATGTTTTGGTGATTAAGCACTTAATCTTGATTAACCAAGATCTGCAAGTATAATAGTAGTATCAGAAGAAGCACATTTAATATCAATGAATAAACATGATTATAAATAAGTTTGTGAGAAATAGATTCAAGAATAGAATGCTAATGTAGATTATTTTATGAAATTATTTAATGGGACTAGTAAATTTACAGTTACTAAATTTATATAGAATTTAAGAACAATATAATTTTCAGCATAAGCAATATTATGGAAAGAAGGAGATGAACCTAAATTTTATTTCTTAATTTTAAAAGGAAGAGTATAATTATATAGATAGATTTCAGAAGAATTAATAAATTAATCTACTAATAAAAAGAAAAAAAAAATCATTTTAAGTTAATTATCAGATAATTCATTTGTTGGTTAAGAAGAAATAATTGAATCACTTCCTTATAGATTATATTCTTGTTAAGTTTTAGATAATACAACAGCTTATTTTATGGAAACTAATGATTTCAATAATTTAAAAAAGAATTTTCCAGAAATTGTTAAATTATTGAAAGATAAAAGTTCTTTAATTTCTGAATATATGAATAATAGATAAAATAATATCATTTCAATATTATAATAACATGATAATTCATAAAAAGAATAACCATAATTAATGATTACTGAAAGAAAAACTGTATAAGAAATATTTAAAGATCCACATGATAGACCAGATAAGAATGATATTCGTTCATAAAAACCTAAAATACTACTTTAAACTGAAATTGCACATTAAAATATGTTATATCATTAAAAAAAATTACCAACTGATGCTAAAACTAAATTTTTAATGGTTGATACAAATTTAATTGAATAAATTAGAGATAGAGTATCCAGAAAAATTTGGACTGGAGCTGAAAAGAAATAGAGAGTTAAAACTACTCATCTTGATGATAATTAAATTTTAACTAGTAGAGTTTAAAGTGCTGTAAGTACAAAATCTAAAAAAATGTAAAGATTTTCATCATTAGAAACTATACTTTAAATTACATCATCAGAACCTCATTAAACATCACCTACATTTGTTACTTCTACAACCAATACTATACCACTTATTTAAAGATCATGGAATCCATAAAGTAGATAATTAAAGGCTAAATTAAGAAGAAAAATGAGTGGAGCTATGAGTCAAAACACATTATAAACATAATAAATAGAAAATTAAGATATATTCTCTTAATTTTAAATACCACATAGAATTCACACAGCTAAATCTACTAATAGAAAAATGTATTTATATTATTATATATTAATTTAGTTGTTCTGCTTTTGGATTACGTAAAAAAAGTGATCAACTTTTAGGTTATACTTGAGTATTTATTTTTAATTTTGATCTTTAATTCTCCATCTATTTATTTATATATATATATATGTATAATCTATCAATCTAATCTTTAATAAATAACCAAAAATATTTATAAATATTTTCTATTAAGTTTAATTGTAAACTCATTTATAATATATAAATTAAAATAATAAAGTACTTATCACATCTATATAAGTTAAATTTATATTAATAAATTAAATTCATTAACAAAATACACAAGTGTCAGTATAAAATAAATAATTAATAGTATAATAAATATATTTACAAATTAATGTTAGTTAAGTTAATATAAATGAATACTTAATATTAAATATATAAATTTAAGAGTGTATTTCTAATAAATTTAAGATATATAAAATGATTTTGTTTTAATTTCTGTATGTTAATGACATTTTATAATTAGATAAATTTAAAATTAATATACGATTACAAATAAAAATTATGTAAATTCCATAAGGTTAACCAGAATATAGACCTAGTAAATTAACTAGATATTCTAACTAAACATTTTATTCAATGGAAAATTGTGATGTTTTCATTAATTAAAATGAAAATATGGATTTGATGATGTAATGAGATTATTACCTTAAGGGATTAAATGCCTATATTATAATAAGTGTTTGATGTACGATATACATAACATAAAGAAAACTAATTATAGAAATTTTACAATATGCCAAATGAAGAAAGGATGTTTTATATGATTGATAAGGATTCAGGCAGAATTTTTGACATGCGAATTCCAGAAGTATCAAATTTTCTATTTATTAAGTAAGCTAAAGAAATACAAGAAATAATGAATGGTAATACAGTTAATTTTACCAAGGATCAAGCATGGAATGATTTTATGTACTAAAATAATACTATATAGATTGTTAACTAAAAAAATGAATGAACATCTTTTAGACTATGCAGAATTAGGTGATGCATAATCAATAGAGACATTATTAATACCTACAATTGAATATTATCTTGATGTTGATACAAAGTATTCTAAATTCATAAATAATATTAAGAGGTCTTGATGATTGGACAGCTTTGCATTTTGCATCAAATGAAGGTAATTTAGAAATAGTGAATATTTTAATAAAACATGGAGCAACAGTTGATGCATTAACTAAATTTTAAAGAACCCCATTCTTTTTGACTGTAATGTAGAATTACATAGATTGTGCAAATGTTTTGTTATAACATAACGCCAATATCAATATATAAGATAAGGATGGCAATACTCCATTACATATAGCATCTTAAATGGGATCAACTGATATGATAGCATTTCTATTAGAAAAGAAGGCTGATCCTAATATAAGAAATTTTTATAATTAGAATTGTATCCAAATTTGCTGTGATGCAAATAGTTTATAAATTTATATAAAATATGGATATGTTCATAATGAAGAAGTAATTATATTTGATATTATAATAAGAGTTATGAAAGAACTATAATACCTGGTACTAATTTTTTATTAAGGAATAGTAGATATGATCATGTAATGAAATTAATGACAAAGGAGAAATAGAATGAAGGATAATCTACTACAAATAGTTTTAATTAAGTTACTAATACAAATAATACTAATAAGAAAATTTGGAAATTTTAAAATCTAGCTAAATTTTAAAATGTTAATCTTTTAAAATATAAAATGACACCAAATATGTTTAATTTTTATTAATTATTGGGAAAAGGATCTTTTGGAGAAGTATATTTAGTAGATAAAATTGGATCAGAAAATAAGAAATTATTTGCTATGAAAATATTAAAAAAAGAAAGAATGATGTCATAAAATTTATTAAAATATGCAGAGACAGAAAAAGAAGTATTAAGTGTAATGCATCATCCATTTATAGTTAAATTGAATTATGCATTTTAAACAGAATCTAAATTATTTTTAGTAATGGATTTTTGTCCTGGAGGTGATCTTTCTAAATTATTAGATATAAAAAGAAAATTACCAGAAGAAGATGCTAAAATATATGTAGCAGAAATATTATTAGCTATTGAATGTTTACATAAAAATAATATTATATTTAGAGATTTAAAACCAGAAAATGTAGTATTAGATTCAGAAGGTCATGCTTTATTAACAGATTTTGGATTATCTAAAAAAGGAGTAACAGATGAAGAATTAAATAAATCATTTTGTGGTTCACCTGCATATTTACCACCTGAAATATTATCTAAATAAGGACATAATAGAATGGCAGATTGGTATGGTTTAGGTGTAATGACATATGAATTATTGGTTGGTATTCCTCCATATTATGCTAATGAACGTGAATAATTATTTGATAATATTAGAAAAGGACCATTAAAAATACCAAGAAGTTTATCTAATGAAGCAAAATCATTTATAGTAGCTGTAAATTATTATTATTATTATTATTATTTAAGTTATTAAATAGAGATCCAAATAAAAGATTAGGATCTAATTTAGATGGAGAAGAAGTTCGTGAACATTCTTGGTTATCAAATATTAATTGGAAAGATTGTTATGATAGAAAATTAAAACCA